TGCTGGAATCCCGGATTCTCACCTGGCAAGAGGCTTCAACCAGACTGGAGTAAGGGGTTCCTTCTCACTCTCATGTCCCCTTAATTTTTCCTGTCTTTTTTCATCTTACTTTGTTCTACTCGTGAATGGACTATGGACAGATAGATGTCCAGAGAGTGAACAGGAGAGTCAGGACACTTGTATCCAATAAATAGAAGGCTGTTTATAAAAGAAAAGTCTGGAAAGTATCTGTGGGTTTAACAATCTAGAGAACATTATGACCACAGTGAGAGATGTTTGCTGGACAAAGAGACTAGAACCCCAGAGGTGAGGGAGGCCAGACAGGATGAGAAATGGGAACATAGCAGGGAATCCATTTTATGCCAAATTCAGTCTTCTGATAGCTAGCCCAGTCTCTAACGAGTACTTTATTCTTATAATGGCTATTCCATTCTCACAGTGGCTAGCCCATGCTCTTGATGACTACTCCACTCCCATGATGGCCATCCCACCTCTTGATTACTAGCTCATGAGGTAATACAAGCCACTTCTAAAAGGCATGTGCTTAGGGAGGGGAGAGACAAGGGACAGTGGCTGATGATATTTTAAACATGGGTTGGATCTAAGTTCATTTTAAAGTTTCAAGAGAGAAAAATGCAGGGCATGCGGGGGTGGAGGGTACATACTAAAGTAGGAACCAAACACAAGCTGATGTAAACAGAGTTCCAGGAAGCAAAAGTTGAATGTGCCCCCACCCCACCAAAGTTGCTATGTTGTAAACCCAAGTCCCAACACAAAAGTGTAAGCAGAGATGACTACGTAATGAGGGCTCTGCCTTCCTTAATGGAGTGGTGGTCTGATCATCAAAAGAATGGGATAGCCATCATGAGAGTATGCTAGTCATTAAGAAAGTAGGTTAACTATCAAGACAGTAAGCTAGCTATAACAAGAGTGGGCTTGTAATCAAGAGAGTGGGCTAGCCATAGTGAGAGTGAGCTAACCATCATGAGAATGGGATTCCCATCATGAGAGTGGAGTAGTCATCAAGAGCATGGGCTAGCCATCATAAGACTGAGTTTGGTATAATATGTGTTCCCGCCATTCTCTTGCTCCCACACACTATCTTACCCTTCTGGATAGTATGATCATTTTCAATAGATGTGGGCCCTAGACCTCAGGCCAAGGCTTCAAAACTGTACCAAATAAATGCCCTTATCAATTACCCTGTTCTGTCATAGCAACACAAAAGAGGAGCCAGGATTCCGGGACAAACTCACTCCCTTCATGTCTTTGAGCCATGTTATACCTCCTTCCTTTGTACCCTAGGAGCTCTGCTGCCTTTAACATGACTGACACCCAAAACTGAAGGGTCTTGTGGTCCTTAAAAAGTCAGATCCAGAGCACAGAAGTGTGTCTGAGCCCTGCCCCTTCCCACAGGAAAGCTCAACCAGGACAGATATAGCCCACAGGCCTGAGAGAGCTCTCAAGAAGACCTTTCATGTGGTTCTCCAGACCCCTTGGCTGGGAAACTCCCAAATACAAATGGAAGATGCTCTCAAGGGATCGAGAAGCCTAGAGGTCACTCTAGGTCACTACAACACCTTCATCCACAGAGGTCTTAAGTTCAAAGCTCAGGTCCAGTTCAGGATTCATACATATTCACTTGTAAATTCAACTGTCAGTCAGCCTCTGAATCACCTGTGGGTCCCCTCTATGGCATGGCATGACTTTGCTCTCAATCAACCTGACACATTTAAATTAAATGTAATTGATGTCATGCCTTGTTCCACAAAGAACTGGAGGTAATGTACCAAGATATATGTGAGACACTAGATTAAACACCTATAGAACCAAGCAAATAGATAATAAGATTGACAGGTGGTGTAGCTTGGGGGTAGGATGACTGCAACCACAGGCAAGGTCCTGGGTTCAATCCTCAGCACCCTAAGATAACAAATTTAACCAAGAGAAATTCAAGAAATAGAGTCTAGATCTAGCTTGCAAAGGTAGACTCAAGTCTCCGCCACTGGCCACAAAGATGTTATACATTTGAATCTGAGCTTTGTATTAACTAAAGAGGGAAAAAATGCATCTAACACATGAAGGCCAAACCATCAGGGTCCAGTGGCCCAATTGCATTGTCACCTTCAAGATGTAATGAAGGTTGGAGAGATGGCTCAGTGGGTAAGGTGTTGGCCTCACAAGCATGAGGACCTGAGTTCCATGCCCAGAACCCATGTAAAGAGGCTGGCAGCTGTGCACTTGCAATCCCAGCACCAGCGAGGCAAAGACAAGTGGATCCTGGGAAAGTTCCACGTCAGTGAAAGACCCCATCTCAAAACCAGGATGAATTGTGCTCAAGTATTGACACCTGAGATTGTCCTCTGGGTTCCATATGCATGCACACACATGTGCACACACAAATGCACACACAGAGGTTGAAGTCACACCTGCTAAAGGAGAAGATGGTACACCTAACCTGACATTCTAATCCAGCAGAGATAAAAGCAGGGCCACATATCACAAGGGACAACAGGAACCACCAACTTCTCTCTTCCAAAATGTTCTAAGTTACAAGACACAAGTGTAGAGGCCATTGCAAGAGCTTAGAGCACAACTCAGCTCAGTGGTTCCTGGTGTGGTAAGAGGTTTGGCTCTGGTGGACCAGAGCACCTAGCTGAGGCTTAGAGATATTAAGCAGTTGCTCAGAGCTGCACAATTAGGCAGGGGCAGAGTGATATCCCTGCATCTCTGGAACCCAATCTGGAAATCTGCTGAGCTGAAGAGCAAGGCTGAGGATCCCACTGCAGTCAGCCCCTCCCTCCTCCGGCCTGGGAGCCCAGCCCAGGTACCAAGATACTATGGGAGCTGAAAGAGCATCATGGAAGTGGAATCTGTACCCTCATACAACACTCAAGTAACCTGGGCTAAACGGGCACCTCTGGAGGCTGGCTAAGGCAGGGTGGACACTACTGCTCAGTGACTGGGAAATCCTTTCTTCTCTGTCTACCTGGCAGGTCTGATGTTGTTCCTACAGGCTGGACATCGGGACTCAAAAAGGGTGATGACTCCTTCTGGAGCTGAGGAAGCAAGCAGCTCACTTCTGGATGATTCCCACAGGCTACTCTACATCTCCCACAGAGCCCATGGGGGCTGGCCTCTGCCGATGTCCCACTCACCCCTGTCTTCTGGGCAGACAGGGAGTTCCTTAGAAGCCAGGTTCCTGAGCAGGTATTGGCAGAGTATGAAGGGGCTATAAAACCATCAGAGCCAAAGTGTCCTGCCTGTTATAGGGCGGGTTGGTGTAATTTCAGTGATAAGGGCGGCCTGCAGTTGTGAAAGAGATAGGTGGTCCCATAAACCCAGGTCACCAGCAGGGCATGGGGTGAAAAGGTAAAGGAAAGAGGAGGATCACCTTCCCCTAAAGAGTTTGTGGCTGGAATTAGGGTCTGGTTGGGGTGGGGGAGTAAGCACCTAGGATCCTAGGACCTGCTCTTGTTCCAACCTTGGGGCTCCAGCCAGACCCAGGGAAGGTAGGTGGGTGTAGGCACCAGGTAGGCTGGCATAGGCAGAAAGCTGAAGACCCACTTGACAACTGTGAAGGAATCTGTATCTATGATTCTGTACCCCAACCCATCCTCAGGACCCACAATCCCTGTTCTCCCCCACAATCTAAGCACAGGCCTGTGCTAGCTCTGGCTGAACATCCCAGTGGTCAGACATGTCACTCTACAACAGCTCTGGTGACCCAAGAATGGCCTGTCTGTGTTGGAACACAGAGTACCAGGTAGGGTACAGAGAGTGGAGATACCTCAGTCAGTAAGCCCTGGGAAATGACACTTTCCTCCAATCCCTGCAGGTGACTGTGCCCCTAGGGAGGAACCAGCTGAAAAGAAGCCATTTGTTAAACTTCCTGCAAGGTATCTGGAGAAAACACTTGGGTGGCTGCTAAGGATGAGGAGACACAGCCCAAACTCTCAGCCATCACAGAAAGAAAGAACTCAATATCTGGTTACAGGGGCTGCATACAACCTGGATGTTGGTACCACCAGGTAAGGCCCCAGGGTATGGACAGATAGCCTGAGGCCTTGGCCAGGACCAGATACGCCCCTGAGCTGACAGTTTTGTGACTCAGAATGTGTTCTTGGCTGTCACTGCTACCTCCTGGTTGTCAGGTTCCATCTCTGCAGAATAAAGGGTGATTCAATTGCCCTCTGATTCTATGGTCCTCATCCTCTCACCCAAATGGAAAGATTGTGTGCAAGGAGCAGCAGAGGGACTAAATCAGGCTGTCTACTGCTCCTACCCTGCAGAAAGTGGCACAGGATTGGTACACAGGCCTGGGCAGGGCCACAGTATACGTTTGCTCAAGTTCTGCACTGCACAAAAGTACTCAGCTAGGGACAGGCTGAAGTCTTCCTGAAACAGGCTAATGCTCCTTCTAATGTGCACTCATGTGCCCCATGAGCAAGTGGCAACTCTGAACTCACAGTCAAAACCAAGTTCTCACTCTGTGACTTCAAGCAACAGGGAGAACCTGCCCTTCAATATCCTCATATCAGAAATGGGGCTCACCACTGCTTCCCAGCTGTAATGACCTATAGCGGACTGAGACAGTCCATCTCCAGGACAGAGCAGAGAGGCTAACTCACAGCAAGTTCCCAGTAAGAATTTCCAGAGTTTCCTCCCACCTCCCCCAGCCCAAGTCACCCAGGCAGCCACGAAACCATCTGCAGGTAGGAGCCTCCTCTCACCATGTACCCCACAACCTCTAATGAGATTGTCACAGTATCCCATTTTCACCCTAAAACGCTCACTATGGGCAGTACTTTTGACATTCACTAGATCGAGCAGTGAGGACCAGGTGAGAGTCGAGGTGAACAGTCACAGGATAGCTGCATGTGAACTTAGGTCAGCAGACTCCTGTCTACTGATTCACATCATCTCTCTCTTCTTGGTTCTTCCATATTCTACTTGAGAAACAACATGTCCCAAATGCTCCTCTGACCCCACTTACTTACCATCAGGGACCATTAAGGGTTCTTCACATCCTATCCAATCACAAGCTCTCCTGAACTCTCTTGCTGCAGGCTTCTTCTGGGGCTGAGAATAGAGGATAACACCCTTCTCAGTGGGCAGAACCATCTGGTGTTAGGACTGGAGGCACTAGATGGTGATGGTGTCAGAGACACACATTTAGCAGGACTTTATTTGACTACACTCTGATGGAAGGCTCTGAGCAGGTCTTTTAGTTGGTGGGTGTCTTAATGGTTCATTGAAACAGGATCTCATTCTTTGGCTCAAGCTATACTGAAACTTACCATATGGCTTAAAACTTGTAGCAACCCTCCTGCCTCAGCCTCCCAAGTATGATTACAGGTGAAAGCCACTACACTCAGCTCAGTGAGTCTTTTTTTTTATTATTATTAGTCATTCCTGTATTGCTTTCAAATCTTCACTATCACAAGCTTTTGTCGCTGAGAATTTAGAAAACAGGAGTTTTCTAGAAACATCTGTGGCTGTTTTGTCTGCAAATTTCAGGCCTCTCCATCATCTAGAAAACTAATCCATGTTTTAACTGGCTGTTTCCTATGTGTTGTAGGACAGGGAGCTTAAGGACACTGATCACTCTTTGAGGAGCTCAGGTTCTGCTTGGCAGTGATGTGTGAACACAGTGGAGGTTAATAGTAAGTCAGAAATAAATATAACAACACCCCAAACAGGCAGAAAGGGGCATGAACCTGGGGCTGTGAGCTGGGGAAAACTCTGGCTGTCAGTTTATAGTTCAAATATTAAACTTGGAGGCTGGGGAGATGGCTCAGTACTTAGAGTGCTTGGCTTACCTGAAGAGCAAGAAAACCTGAGTTTGAACCCCAGAACCCATGTACAAAAGCCAAGAGTGCATATACTTTTATGCTGTGCCCTGGGAAAGCAGAGACAGGCAGATCCTTGGGCTTGTTGAATTGGTGAGCTCCAAATACAGTGAAAGGCCTGCCTCAAAAATAGGGTGACAACTGCAAAGATACCCCCACAAGAGACTGCTGGCAATGGCCGAGAGACAGCCGGGACTGACCTACTCTGGTGATGGGATGGCCAAACACCCTAATAGTTGTGCCAGAAACCCCATTCAAGAACTGAGGAATCTGGATGCAGAGATCCATGGCCAGGCCCCGGGTGGAACGCTGGGAGTCTAATTAGCGAGAAAGAGGAGGGTTTATATGAGCGAGAATTGTTGAAACCAAGGTTGGATAGAGCACAGGGACAAATAGCCAAACAAATGGAAACACATGAACTATGAACCAAAGGCTGAGGGGCCCCCAACTGGATCAGGCCCTCTGAATAGGTGAGACAGTTGATTGGCTTGATCTGTTTGGGAGGCATCTAGGCAGTGGTACCAGGTCCGGGCTCGCTGCATGGAATGGCTGTTTGAAGCCTGGGACTTGTACAGGGACGCTTGGCTCAGTCTGGGAGGAGGGGACTGGACCTGCCTGGACTGAGTCTATCAGGTCGATCTCAGTCCTCGGGGGTGGCCTTGATCTGGAGGTGGTGGGAGTGGGGGGTGGGCTGGGGGGAAGGGGAGGGGGGCGGGAGGGGGGAGAACGGGGGAATCTGTGGCTGTTATGTGGAACTGAATGGTATTGTAAAATAAAAGAAAAAAAATACATTTAATTTAAAAAAAATAGGGTGAAAACAGAAGGAAGAAGGCTCCCATTGTTGACCTATAGTGCACATGCACACACACACACACACACACACACACACACACACACACACACACAAATGAGACCTATTTCGCTGAGATGTAAAGTGAGGAGCCCTAGCTGAACACTCACTCATAGCACAGTGGACCCACCTGCCACCTTGCCTTTCCTTCACCTAAGTCTCACAATCTCCCAAAACAGTGCCACCAGCGTGGGACTGGGACTCAACACATGAGCCAAGGAGGAACATTCAATCCACTACTTGCTCTGCTCAATTTACCACTTGGTAAATCCTGATAAACGCCTGAGAAAAGGTGAAAGCAAGGGCAGTGGAAGGTGGTGCAGGCCTTTAATCCCTGTACTTGGGAGGTGGGGGCAGATGGATTCCATATAGTGAGACATTGCCAAGAAGAAGGAGAAAGAGAAGGAGGGGAAGGGGAGGGAGAGGGGGAGTAGGAGGGGGAGAGGAGGAGAAGAAAACGAAGAAGGAGGAGAAAAAGTGACTTGGCTGTTGAGTCAGTCATCTGCTGCAGCAGACCAGAAGGGAAAGGGGCTTTCAATCAGCCCCTGGGTCTTACTGGGGATGTCTCCCTGTACACATTGCAGCCCCCATGTAAGGCTCAGTTTTTTCATCTGCAAATAGGATAGGCCTGACTCAAATGCTATGGTAGGGACCCAGTGGGATGAGGGATGCCCAAGCTGGTGTGGAGTGGATGGTATCACTCTGGGAACATTTCAGTAACCAAAATATCTGGGCTCACAACCCACAAATCCATTTACGAACTGTCCAGACCAGCAAAGGGAACTCATCACAAACTGCATTGGGGGCTCTCTGGGGCATGTTAAAGCTGCAGCAGTAATTGGGCTTTTTCAAGCCATGGGCCTCATGTTCTCCCTTTCTCAAGCCAAACTCTGTCCCACCACCATCCCCAGCCCTGCAACATTCAGAGTGCACACAAATTGGAGTTGTATTTATTGTTAAAGCACATCACACCCATGGAGGAGAAGAGGGAGGGGAAATTGTGACCAGATGTAAGATAGATAAATAAGTTTAAAAAAAAAAAAAAAAAGCACATCACATCAGGACATGGATATGTCTCTCCTTGGAGGTCCCTGTGATTCTGGGTAATCAACACTCACCCTCAACAATGTACCTTGAGCACTGAGGACATGGGGAAGTCAGCCAGACTTCTGCCTTCTAAGAGCCCTGTAAGAATCTGAATCTAGGCCTGGAGAGATGGTTCAGAGGTTAAGAGCACTGGCTGCTCTTCTAGAGGTCCTGAGTTCAATTCCCGGCAACCACATGGTGGCACACAACCATCTATAATGAGATCTGGTGCCCTCTTCTGGCATGTAGGCATGCATGCAGACAACACTGTATACATAATAAATAGATAAATAAATCTTCAAAAAAAAAAAAAAGAATCTGAATCTAGCAGGGAAGAAGGCAGATAAGCCGGGTGGTGGTGGTGCACACCCTTTATCCCAGCGCTTGGAAGGTAGAGCCAGGCGGATCTCTGTGAATTCGAGGCCAGCCTGGTCTACAAAGTGAGCTACAAAGTGAGTTCCAGGAAAGGCGCAAAGCTACACAGAGAAACCCTGTCTCAAAAAAATCAAAATAAATACATAAGTAAATAAATAAATAAATAAATAAATAAATAAATAAATAGAAGGCAGATAAAAGAGGAAACAGCCTACGGCATGGTCAACCCCAGAGCAGGTTCTACAGCGTTCACAAGCCACACTGAGACACAGAAAGGGTGACAGGACTCCTGAGTCAAGCTCAAGAAGCGACGGCATCAGAGAGGAAAAGTACATCTCAAGGAGGGCCAGAGGCTGCCGCCACCCATAACATCATAGCCAGACAGACCTCGACATCAACTTGGGTTCCTTGAGTGGATAATAGTCCAGTTTCTCCCAACCACTCACACCTGCCAATCAACCTGCCCTTCCTAGCAGGTGAGTTCAAGGGTCATCTCCCATGGAAAGACCTTTGTGGTCTGCAAGCAGAGCTCTGTGAGGTCCTGGGGTACATCAGTATACCTGTGAACTTTCCAAGGCAAGCTCTGCACACAGAAGGTACATGACTCATAACAGCCATATGATTAGAGTAACAGTTATGAAGCATGCCCAAGTGCCATACATCATGCTTAGGGACAGTCTGTAAGTATCTCCATCACACTTGTTAGGACTTAGAAGATCTGAAGAGCCAGGCTGGCAGCTGGCTTTGCAAGAAGAGGACTAAGAAAGTGTCAGAGGCTCTGAGAAAACATTCCCCTGGAGGAGGAGATTTCAGGCTTCTCGGTCTGCTCACAGGGATGGGAATTTTACTTCCATGGAGCGGGGTTTGGGAAGAAAATGGCCCCACAGGTAAGCAAGCTGTTCATCTGAGAAACTCTGAACTGAGCCTTATGGGGCCACATTTCACTGATGGAAGGACAGAGTTCTCTCTGAACATTCCTGGGGCAAGCCCATGTGACAGGCCCAGGATTGCCCTGATGGGGTCCCATGATTCCTGGTGTGATATGAAGAGCCTACTTCATTCATTCTCAGTCCCCCTCCAGGCCAGCCAAAACCCACAGTGTCAGTCTGGAGACCCACAGTTCTCCCCTTCTTCCATTTCAGGACACTCTAATCTCCTCTTTCCTCCTGACACCCTTCCTCTGGTCCAGGTGAGACTTGGTTCAGGGCAGGGTCTCACCAGCAGAAGAAGGCTCCCATAGGCCCAAGAAGCATTCCTTCCCTGAGGTGACTTGTTTTTTTTTTTTTCTTTTATTTATTTTTATTTACAATACTATTCAGTTCTACATAACAGCCACAGATTCCCTTGTTCTTCCCCTTCCTGTCCCCCTCCCATTCCCCCCAGCCCACTCCCCATTCCCACCTCCTCCAGATCAAGGCCACCCCGGAGGACTGAGATCGACCTGATAGACTCAGTCCAGGCAGGTCCAGTCCCCTCCTCCCAGAATGAGCCAAGCATCCCTGTATAAGTCCCAGGTTTCAAACAGCTATCTCATGCAACGAGCCCAGGACCTGGTGACTTGTGATTTGGCTGTCACAGTGCTTCTAGCATTCACTTAGGAACACAAACTGTTCAGATGAACACAGACTACAAATATCTGCCCCAGCTTCCAAATGCCTTTGAAACAGCCTGGGAATACACGTAAATATTTTATACTGGGAGGCAGGATGAAGTGGGGAAAGATGGGTTTGAATTCATCAAGTCACAGTTAGATGGGAGCAGGAAACCCTGACTTGTTGCTGCACAGGTGGTGATAATCGGACCACAGTGTCCTCTGTGTTTCCAAAAAGCTATAGGAATCTAGAGAGCTTTCAGAGAGAAGAAATTATCAAAAAACAACATCAGGGAGATTTATCCTTTGTTCTCTTTCACATCATGAC